AGGGTCTGACGATATTCTTGACAATCAGGGTTCGAGTTCCGCTATTAACGCGTTCGGGGGATGGGACCTCTCCACCCAGGCCGGAATGGAATTAGTCGGGCCCTGTAAAAATTGATCCGGACATCCACTCCGTCAGAAAAAAAAAAAAATAAATCTCACGACATAATAGAACGGAATATTTTATATGGGTGAAGAAACAACCAACAAAAGAACTGCAGGTTGGGTCAAAGAGCACCGCCATTTGACCCAAGTGTATTAAATGCTTTGCATGCAACTAATAATTTTTCAGAACCAAGAGGAATTGGCAAGGAAACGGTTGGTTCTCAAAGTCCATAGATGATCATGCATGATCATGATAATTATAATTTTTCTAGTACTATATATGTGTATGTATGTATGTTAAGTACTAAAAATGTCATTCAGCTTTCCACACACTACTAATTCAGGGTTTAGGGTATGGATTTCCATTTGAAGTCGTTTAATTAATTAACCTTTCAAAAGATTTGCAAATATTCACTAACTATGTTTACTATCAGAAAATGACAGCTGCTTTCAGAAAAGAAGGGCCAATGACAAGAGGTTTCAGCCGTGGCATTGATCGTAAAGTATCATGAATCGTGTAATTAGGAGATTAATTAAGTCATCAAAGTTAACCAAAGTGGGCTCCATTAGTTGTTAAAGGATCAATATTGGAGTGTCTTAATAATGCTGGACATTATACTACTACTATAAATTAGGGGGATTTTATCTAATGGCATGGATTCATGTGAAGAGGGTCCCAATTAATCAATTCCTCCGTCCTTTTCAGGATTAAAGATAAACTTCTTTTTGAGAGCACTTGTAATAATGAAACTTTATTAGCTTCCCTATTCAATGCATCATATATCCTTGGCGTCTTACATATGTGCTGCTGGCAATAATAAAATGTTTGTTTGTAAAATTTTTGTGGTCTTCTTGTTCGTTGTGAGATGCTGTTTCATATATTTCTGTTGTGTTTTTATTATCAATTACTCCCTCCGTCCCACTTTGATAGTCCTATTTCTTTTTTCACACAGTTTAAGAAAAAGTAGTTAACTTTGTTGAAAAAGTAAATTTAAATTGCTATTTTCCTAAAATACCTCACATTAAATATGGTACAATTTTATGGGAACTTGAATTGATGGTAAAAAAAGAATCAACTCTCATTAAATGGGGTAGGTTTATAGTAACAACTACTTACATTGAATAAGGGTATTTTAGAAAAATTAAAATACAACTACATTCTTCAATTGGAAAGTGGACTACAATTTGGGACAGATGAAAAAGGAATACAGGACTATCAAAGTGGGACGGAGGGAGTATAAAACTTATGAGCTATTTGCAAAAAAAAATCATCAATCACAATCACTATAAGTGTGATTAAAAATAGTTGACGGTAATAGAATTTTATTGAAATCAATAGAGTATTTGACAAGTGGAGTTTACGTATGGGTTATATATATATATATATCCTCATTTTTCTTTTATTTTTTATCACTCTTTTTGTTTCTTCTTAGCATTTTTATTTTTAATTAAAAATATGAGATACATGGATAAATAAATATGGATTCCCTACTACTGTAAAGTAGTTAATCACAAAACTCATTCTAGTACGAAACTCACTTACCAAATATATATACCTTAGTGAAACTCAAGCGATAGTGGAATTTTGTCACGTTAATAATAGGATAAAGAGTGAGACAAACATTTTTTTTTATATGAGTACAAATAACCCCTGAATATAAATTAAAATATTATTACACTCATTACAGAGATTTGGGGCTCCGTTTGGATTGCAAATTTCCTCAGAAAAATTGTTACGTTTTTCGTGAACACATTTCTCTATCACATTTTTACTTCATATTTATCAAATCGCTATAATAATTTTTCTACAAAAAAAATCCAGAAAATTGCAATCCAAAAGTTGCCTTTTGGACTTAAATCATTGTAGTTTAATTTATGATTTCTTGAAGCCAAGATCACCCACAGTTGAAGAAGAATTGCATTACTATGACCAAAACTGCATCAAGTAGTCCGAGTTTTTTTTATCTTGAAGGAAATGAGATCTGTACGTCATGCATCTTGTGATTACTTACACATATGAAAGGTTTGGTCAACCTAGGATAAATTAATGCAGAGGCCACACTTAACACTTTTCTTACCACTAATAGTGCAGTACTGCTCCTTTCAACATTACATTAATTTTCCTCCCCCAAATACAAATATAGGATTAAGAAGTTAATAAAATCTTTGCTTTACTAGACAACCCAATTAAATTTTAAGTTAATTCTCTAGACAACTTTTTCTTGTGACTCTCACTATCTCTTGGATTCCCTGACCGTACCTTGACATGATATATGGTGAATGAATAAATCTTGTTCTAGGATATGAATGTATAAAGGCAATATGACGTTACGATTGTTAATGTTGAGAATATGCGGATTGCGACTAGGATTTGAATATTGAAGTCAATTACAATTTTTTTTTACTCAGCTGACACTAAACTAGAAATGGAAACAAAAATCTACTTTTTTTTCCCCCTTCTACATTGTGAACTACGAATGGCTTGAAACTACATGCAAAAGATTGATTTAGGATTGGTTTTATCCTCCTTTCATGTATCACTTGCATCTATGATACAGGATTTTGGGTTGGTAAGACTCTTACTTTTTAGTTCATTCACAATTGATTTTATGTCTAGGGGGTCCATTGGCTTCCAAATAAGAAAATCCAAACTATTAATTGATTAGCTTTTTTTTTTTTTTTTTCTTTTGTTGCTTCTTGGAAGCATGGCGGAGACTCTCTTTCATAATAATCAGTGTTTCAAAAAAAAAAAAAAATCTATTCTACACTTTAACTGCCAAATCTTTTTCTCTTTATTTTGTCAATAAAACTAGCTATAGAGTACAAATAACATTTACCCTAACATTAGCATTGATCTATACAAAGCTTAGAGAACAAAAATGAAACTTGGTAATTAATTTCAAATGACAAAAGAGAACGTGTTAGCAGCGTAATAAACCCTAAAGAAGTAAATATTCGACACGGCTTATATAGATGTGTGTGCTAATGCTTACATTATTTGATAACCTATAATTTTATGTATTTCCTCCCGCCCCCCCCCCCCCCCCCGCGCGGGGGGCAGGTGAAGTAGCTAAAAGGGGAAAAGTGATGTTGAAGTAGAATGCAGAAACTTTATCTGATCATCAAGAGAGATGGTACATAATTTTCTTGTCCAATATATACATGGATTTTTTGCCCTTTCCTTTAAAGCCTCAATTGATTTTCTCCTGCGAGTAAGTTGAGATTGGGTTAGGAACTTAGGCCATGCTTGGATTGCTTGTTTCCGTCGAAAAATATTGTCGTTTTCCGTAATCACATTTTCCTATCACCTTTTTCCGTCACATATATCAAATCGCTACAGTAATTTTTTCATGAAAAATAACAAAAAATGCAATCCAAACACAACCTTAGGATAGCGTTCTCCTCGTTGCATTAACATACGAAATCTTTAACCTCGTTTGATGACTTGCGAATTTACTGCCACCATTTCTGGGAAACCCATTATGCTCGGCAAAGAAGAGATTAAAATAATCATCAGCGGGATGACTTTCTGAATTGTCGTTTTGCGACTTCAAAGAACAAAATCATTCTTGACTTTATGTTATTCTAGTTGGGCAGGTAGCCCAGCACTTCTTGCATACGAATGAAATTAAAATATGCGAGGAAAAAGTGGGAAAAATGATGTGCAAACCACTAGGGCCTGGGTCAGAAGAACACTGATAGTATAACTGATAGTGAGCAAGAACACTGCATTCTGCAGCATCTCTAGCAAGTCATTGAGGGCCACTCAACAATCATTTCTTTAATCAGAAGCCAATGAGAAAGCCCAGTGCAGCAGAACAGACCTAAAGTTGAGGGCGCACCATGAAAAGAAGGTGATGACATTAATCATTTTCCGGAGATTCATGGTATCTTAGGTTGCCAACCCTGCATGCTTGCAGTTGATCAGCTTTCAACCCTGTCAATAAATTTTTTAAACAATTATTTTCGGGTGGCTTTAATTAAATAAGTGGACGAAGTTATTTAAAATTTATTAACCGTTTACTTCTGTGAATTTTGGGACATTAAACTAATGCACATTTGCACCTGGTTTTTGAAATTTTTGCTAGAGAAGGAGAAAGGGAAGCCTGTCAACGGCTAATATGCTTACCAGCTTCTTGATACAAGAGCATAATTTGTCATTCATTTGTAGATCGAAACATACAGTTTTGGTTCTCAGTATTTTTTTGTCCATCGATCCTTAATATTTCGATCAAACAAGTTTAGTTTCCGAAATTTTTGATTTTTTGCAAATTCAGAATATATATAAACCTGACAGAAATTTAACCATTCTAATAATCAATTTGCCGTTGGATTAATCTACTACTCATATATATAATTTCTCATAACTAGTGATGTGTACGGAATTTGGGACTTCTAATTTCTGACTTCATGCAAATCTGGGATAGTTGACCCAATTTTAACAATTCTATTGGTCGAAATCAATTTGTCCTAGTTTTATCTAGTACTAATGTGTATGATTTCTTGTAACCCACCAAGCCAGATTTCAACTTTTCTAGCCGGCTATGCCATGCGGTTTGATCATTCTGATACTATATATGCATGTGTTTGATGTTCTAATTAATCTGCACAGAAATTAGGGCAAGTGAGAAGCTGACACGATGCTGTGAGAAATTAGGGCAAGTGTCACGACTTACGAATATAATTTATACTTCTGAAGATGATGGAAGAAAGATTGGCGAAAAACTGGAACTTGCCCTGCTAAGATTCACAGTATAACATGCATGCGATTAATCTTTTGTAGCCTAATAATAAGCTATAATTAAGCCTGGAACTTCTGTAAGAACTGAACTGCACGAAGGACTCACTACGCATGGATAATTCAGATGGATTAGTGGACACATAGCTCTTTAAATGCATTACAAGAGATCGAATCGACACAACAATGATTCTCCACAGATATGTATATATGTCTTTTATGCTCAAAACAATCGGCTTAAAGCCAGTAATTCGTACAGTTATGCACAGCATTCAAATTAATCGATTTGCAAATTCTTAAACCTTCACACCATGATTTAGTTTTAGCAATCCAAAACCGTCAGATGAAGTATTAATTGTGTTGGTGGAACCGTATTTGTACATAAGAGCTGTGGATGAACATGCATATTTGGTATGAAGAAGCCGCCGCTGATCAAGACTCATTGATCACTTGCTCCACTTCAGCATCATGCCTTTCACTTAAATTAGCGTACAATCGCGATTTGTCCAGGTTCAACTGAATTGTATAACCAAAATACATGGCAGAGAGGAAGAATTATAAACTGATATATAGTTCTCCACAAATTATGGGTTGGAGGTGGAGGAGCTCAGTTAGTGAAGGATGCAGAAGAGATTGAAAAAGGTCTTTTTGCACAACATTAGTACATGATGAACAACAACAACTAACCACCACTTCAGATTAAGGGGATTGGGAGTAGGTGGATAAGTTCAATGATGGATGAAGAACGTAGGACAAAAGTCATAGGAAGAAGCCCTAGTTTATACTTACAGGTGCAAGATGGGAAATGGATTGAGAAATGACAGGACCATGATCATTACAAAGGTGAGAAATAAAAGATATTCATCATGCATCACAATCTTCCGCTGCTTTTAGAAAACCACGGGACGATGCATTATCATTTATCAAGTAACTGAAAATTTATATACTTGAATAAGCAAAAGAAACTCCATACGATTTTTTTTTTTTTTTTTTTGCTCACTTTGTTTCTCTTTCAACTTTTCGAGTAAATTAAACAAACACCTGTTAATATGAACAGCCAAGAAACCAGAAAAAGATGAACATCCTAAAGCAAGATAACTGAGAACGTGGTGCATAGAAATATGCAGTCTTGTGAATATTTTACTTGAAGGAGCATTGGAGTCTTCACTTCACTCTATCCTTTCAAGCCTAGACAAAGTAAATAATATGGACTCACCTAAAAGTTTGTGTGTTTAGGGGCCAAAAGATAGAGAAAACAGAAGAGATGATTTGCTCGCAGCATAAATTCAGCTTAACTCCATTATTATTAATCAAGAAGACTAAGAAGACGAAAATCAGCTCTAAAATTAAAGCAGGATTAAGAAGACTAGACCTAATGCATTACAAAGTGGAGTTGAAGCAAACTCGAGGAAATATACATGTACATATAAACCTTTATAATCTTAAGTCTTTTTTATGTCTCTTCATTCTACAATACATCACAAGTGAAGAAACTTAATTCTATCCCTCTCCCTTCAAACTTTATGAAGCTGCTAGTATTATTTATTCATTTACCTCAATTAGTAAGGAGGGCGGCCATGAGCCCAAGCAAATGCTTCATGGTTCAGCTGTCCACCATTAGGCATCAGGTTTGGTGGCAAATTATACACAGGCATAGAGGACGGATCACCCAAACCACCTTGCTGCGGCGCCCCACCACTCCCCAACGGCGGTGATCCGTTCCCACCAAGTTGTCCCTGAGCTGCACCACCGCCTTCTTCATCTTCCTCAATAGGCAGCCTCTCATAAGTAGCATTCGAAAATGTTGAAGCAATCACCATCACTGGTCCTGAGGCCACTAGTGATCCAACCACACTTCCCCCAACCACTTGGCCTTGGCCTCCAGCTAGGTATATAGTTAGTCCGGTAGCCCCGGGAGGGGCTGGACCGGGGAGGAAAGCTCCGGTGAGAGAGAGAATCTCAAAGCGGCCATGTAAAGCCATGACTGCACCAGGTGCGGAAGGTTGCCTAAGGGTTACGTTAGTAACTGTTCCACTAGCACTCAGCACACAAACTCCCCTTTGCCTTCTCCTGGCAAACTGGGCTATGCTTTCAGCTATGTCAGAACCGTTTGCAACCTCCATGACATGGCTTCTGAGAGCATTAGGGCTATCTCTAGTGACAAAGATAGGCGGTTTTGGCTTATTCTTGGAACCAGGAGGTCTTCCTCTAGGCCTCCGAGTAGCTACCTCAACTGCACCCTCTTTAGGCTCATCAGTGCTGTTTTCTCTTTCATCTTCATCATCTCTTCCACCACTGCCGCCACCGCTTCCGCTGTTGTCGTTCATTGATATGCCCAGATCTGGCTTCTTCAACACTGGTGAGCCAGTTGATGAAGATGTTTCAACACCAGGTAAACCTACCTGGCCGGTCCACCACCTATTTGCCATGATCTTCACCTCAAACTCGTTCAACTAGATTGCGAGCTAATGAGATCGCTTCTTAAGATACTTTCGGCAACTAGCTGAGATCTTAGCTGTGGTTTCTTGATTTTGACTTTCTTTACAAGATAAGGTTCCAAGAAGAAAATTGAGATAAGGATTTTTATAGAGATGAATGACAAAATAAAGTTGATCGATGAACCCAACAAGGCAACAAGGATCTAGATTAGAGACACGAGGACATACGCACACTATCGCACATACAAAGGAGGGAGATGATGAGAGATTATCAGATAAGCTTAGCTAGCTTAGCTTGAAGCCTTGAAGGGGGAGGTTTCTTTCTTCTTTTAACATTTGTTTTTCCGTTTTCTTTTCTCTCCCTGTTGGGATTTCTAAGATGTCGTTTCTTAGGTTTTTGGTGGTGGGGTGTGTGTGATTTTGCGTCAAAGTTCTTGGATGTGTGTCTTTTTCATCGTCTCTTGCACACACACATTCACACACTCACTCTCTCTCTCTCTCTCTCACATAAAATTTCTCATTTTCTGACCTTCACTCCCTCTTAGATGAGTCTTGAGAAATGGGAGTAGGGTCTTGGAAATTAGGGTTTGTGCGTGGGGTCGCGTGCTGTGTGACGAAGTGGGATGCACGTTTGGGGGAGCATATGCCAATTTGCAATGCTGATTAGAGGTGGTAATTAGAGACTGGTATACCTTAATTACCTCAAGAGATTAGTTACAATTTGAAGAATATTTTTAGTCATTCCTTTTGGGCGAAAAACGTTATGTCAGGCAGGCTAACTAGCAAATTTAATAATTAATCTTCATTCCATCAATAGGATACTGCTAATTGAAGAAATAAGGACTTTACAATCTTATTTGAATTGTATTTAATGTGAAAATAGTAAACTACACTTATCAAATAATTTGTCCGAACCAAAAGTTTCCCTTAATTTTGGACTCATCAAACTTCTTTACATATAGCGTTTGAAGTAGTCCAAATATATGTTTTTTTAATTCATATTTTTCAATTCATGCAAGCAAATACATTGTGCACAAGGAGTTAAAATGGAGAAAACGAACTAGAACCGCAATTAGAATATTGAATATTTTAAGCGGTTATTTGAATATTCCCATGAAAATGAAAGTACAAAGAAATTTACAACAAAAAACACAAAAAGAAAATCTAACTATGAAAGACTAACAAACACTAAAATATCCAGTAACTTTGATAATATCATTCAATATACCTCATGAGGCGTTGTCTTGGTAAATTAGCGAGAAAGAGCATATAAGCGCCCAAAAGAGCTTAATACGGCCATTACATATTGATAGCTGCAAACATCAATGGTTGATTTAGACCTATTAGGAGATTTTTTAAAAAAATAAAAAGATTACAAGAAGTCCACCATAGTGGGGGTAATATAATTAACAAATAAACAGTAAGAATTACAACTATTGCAATTCAATAATGCTATTACCAAATTCACAAAGAGTGAGAAAACAAACTCACATGTAGTAAGAATTAAATTTATAACTTCTAAATCCTACAACCTCAATTTTGACTACTAAATCAAGGTCTCATCTGCTATTAGAGTATGTTTATATATATATATATTTGTCGACACAGGGGTGTCCGGATCAATTCTTACGGGGCCCGACTAATCTCCTGCGGCCCGGACCCGGCGCCCAACCCGGCCCGAACACGTTAATTGCGCGGAGAAATCCAGCGGAACGAAAACTCGAACTTGTGACCTCAAGATTCACTGGTGAGAGGCGCTGCCGCTAGACCATTCACGCGAGAACTATTAGAGTATGTTTATTATACTCTAGCATTTTGAAACTTTCAAGCTCCTGTTATTAGACTCCATGACTACTAGTTGCATCCATATAACTAAGCATCTCCAAGTTGTTTATCCAAACTTTCTTAGCTTGTCTCATCATCTGGACTCTTTCAAATGTTCTGTCCGAAGGTATTACTTCTTCTGAAGGTTGGTATAAGATTATTCTATCACATAAAAGCTTAAAAGCATTTAAAACTACTAAGGCGTATTAAATTGGTTCTCTTAAAGGACATGAGAGATCCATGTTCTCTCATGTTCCCTTTATTTTTTGTTGTCTTTCCAAAAAAGATATGGTCTTCCTTCATTTTTACTACACACTATAGCCTTCACAATTTGTTCTATGAAAACAAAAAAGCAGGATGCAATAAACAATGTTGCAGGTGAGTTTAATACGATTCAATCAACTCTATCGGATAGAGAGATTAAACCATTTTAAAACCGAAGGTAATCCCATGTTGTGACCATTCAGTCAGCTAACCAAGACCTCAAAATAAATCAAAGTGCATGTCTTCATCCCATTAGTACACTTGGATTCTATTCAACACCTCTTGTTCTTCTTCCGGATCAACGTTCTCGTTTTCCAAGAACATCACACTCGCATGCACGATGAATGGCACATCTTTTCTAAACTACTGCACATTATTGTACATTTGGATGCCATGGTAGTAAATCTTTGTACATTTGGCAATCTGAAAGTGCCTCTGAGGGCACAAGATCAATAGTCCATACATAAAGTAGTTTACAAAGGCATCTTTGAAAAAAAAAAAAAAATGGCTAGCAGGTTATTTTGGCATGGTTTAAAAAGTTTGGGACACTCCATCCTCCCTTTTAAAGGGATGAGGTGCTTGAAATCTCTAAAACTACCTTAATTATCACTTGCCTTACTTGAGCTACCAGGGATATCTAATAATAGACTCACAATAAACTCTTCAATATAATAATATATGCTCTCTCTCATTTATTAGGGTTGGTCCAATGTCCAGTAAAAGACTCTTATAGTCTTTTTCGCTGTCTGAATTCATGATTCAAATTTTGTTTGTGAGGATGAAAAAAGTATAGAAAAAGATGAATAGGGTAATAAAAAAGAATTAATGAACACACTTTAGACAAACTCATTACTAAACGTTAACATAATATTTTACCTAGCAAATTAGACGAGCGGACCCTTTGTCCTTTTCCTTGTTTTGTTTTCTCAAAGGAAATTAACTCGCAATAATTGTTTGATCAAGTCGCATTAATTGAGCCGTGAGAGGGCAATCGTCACTGGGCATAATGGTGCAAGTGTAGGCCTGGGATCCCATTTTGTCCTCCCATGTTTAGAAAATTTCAGAGGTCAATTATTGTAGATCTTTATTAATTTTAACGGTGTCCATAAAGTCCATCTGGTTTGTCTTATGAATTGGTTGTGTCACATCGATTTTGATTGAATCGTTAGCTTAATGAATAATCTATTGCTGAAAAACCCTTTTGTATTAGAAAACACGAAGAATCATAATAGAAAAAAGAAAGAATGATAGTCGTAGAAGCAACTGTTGATGGTATGGATGAACAGACCGCTGGTCATGCATGTCACGAACATTTGCTGGATAATTTCTTTTAGCTAACCACAATCAAACAAATAAAATTGTCTGTCACATCTTGTTCATCTATATATATGGTCTTCAATTGAGATGATTAATTTTCCCAACTTTGCATGTATTTGATGGAGAAAATCTTGCTTATTATTACTAGAACGCAAAGGGCATGGAATACCCTCGAGAAATTCTTAACTTCCATGGCAGAACGTACAGATGGACTTAATTTCAAATTGGCTCCGAACTGAATAAACGCAGACTTTTCTTCCAGCAGCTAAGCATCGGACGTCTCAAATCATGTCAGCAGCTTTCCTCAAGATCAAAATATTTCCAGTTGGTCAAATGAATGAATCACTTGTACGTACGTCTCCGTTATCAGATTCCATCGACCTTACGTTTTTCAACGCAAAAGGACATTAGAGAAGGAAGTTCGATTTCTATATAACACTTGTCTTCTTAGTCGATTATATATATGATCATTAGAAGCCTTCAAGTCATTGTTTATTTTACTTTTTAATTTTTTGGGGTATTATATATATGAGGATGCAGTTTGGCTTTGGCATGTACTGTACTGATCATGTGGAGCAGGATGTGTAAAAAAGCTTAATTGAAGTACTAAGTTCTAGGAGGAGCCAAAAATAAAATAAAAATGTCGAATGGTTCGTCATTTTATTAACGGTTCGGCTAAAAGGTGCCTAATTGTTAATAGGGATTTTAGGTATTCATTTTTTAAAAATATGTAATTAATTTTTTTTAAAAAAAAAAAAGTTAGACGCAAAGAGCATAATAATTGTGATTGGATATGTTCACATCGAGTGCACATGTATTAAAAAATTTCCTTTTAACACAAAATAAAAAGGAAAAATCGTCTTATCTCTTTTTAGTTATGGATAAGAGAACAATTCATCCAATAGATTCAAGTAGAATTGTACTCGATCTTATCAAATTCATCTTCTACTTTCTGCTTGTTGTAAGTAAAGTGATTATTGAAGTGGCTCATATCAAGCGAACGAGGGTGAACTTTGTCGTTTCTGCATCTTCTGCTTTCCTTTTTTTTTTTTTTTTTCCACTAGCGGGCGGCAACTTCTAGCCTAATCTAACCTACTCCTACTCGTAAGGGGGGACAAAAAGAATGGTACGCATGTAAAATAAGCATAAGTATAATGGTCCAATGGAGAACAAAGTAATGATTCTTTTACTAATTTTCAGATTGCATTACAAAGTAATGATTCTGTATGCTGCCTTAGGGATATTTTAGTGGTGTTACTTTATTGATTGATTGGCTCGGAATCTGCAACCAGAAATGAAATCTTTGAATGTGAAATCCCAACTAGTGCAATATTAGAATATCCAATTACTCTCCAATTCAAAACCTAGACACTTGGTTGATAAAATTTTCTGTAGAAAGTACCCAATAACACAGGTATGGGATAAATATCTATATAAAAAAAAGATTAGGTGGTTTGATCAAATGAGTTTCCCAAGAGTAAAATAAAATAAAAGAGTTTTTTTTTTTTTTGTATTTGATGCTCTATGATAAAATATAAGCATCAAAAAAAAAAAAAAGAATTTGGGCTCACTATTAGAGTTTCAACATTACCATAAACCTTGAATTGCAACGCCAAAAAAAAAAATTATAATAATAATAACCAGCTCATTTGTTATTGTATGACCTTAGAGTACCAAATAAGTAGACGAACGCCAAATAATTCTTTTTTTTTTTTTGAGGGAAACACTAAATAATTCTTGACTTCATAATAGAACTTTGAATATATCAAAAAATTTCAGGGGTTAAGATACAAACTCCTACAACGCCGCTTGCCCAAAAAGGAAGCCCAATATGTCCACGAGACCTCCTACCACAGAAAAAGCCCAAAAGGTGTCAAAAGTCCAAATCCAACTCAAATCAGCCACATACGCTTGCGACTCCCCGTCAGGCCGACACCCTCTTCCCCCACCGCCCAGAATCCTGCCGGCCACAACCCCATATTACGGTTGCTGAAGCCAATAGCAGAAGACAGAGGGAAACGAAGGAATAGAGCTATGGGTGGTGATCTTTTTCAAGATTTGCCACCGCCATCTGCATCACAGACACAGCTTCAAGAATTGCAATC